AAGCCTAATAAAGATGGCGAGTATGTGTCATGCGCGGACTATAATAAACGAAACGCAAGAAGGGCTGCTTATTTCTCTGTCCGTGATCAACTGTGTCTAAACGCCACATGTACATGGTGTATAGAACATTTACCTACGTTCTGCATAAAAGAAAAATGTTTTGAACAGATCGAGAGATTATCTCCGGGCTTGATTCTTGGCTCCATCGCTATGTTGCTGAACTCGAAAATAATACTTCACTGAAATCTGCGTAGCTTGAAATAGAAGACAGAGGCAATCACAAGATATGGCAGTGCAAAAGCTTTTGATTGACCGATAGACCCGCCATATAGAGACCATGGTTCAAAGTTGATCCAGCCCTATCTGCATTGCGCTCAACCACACTCAGCGATGTGCTTTCCCACCGCCCAGGGTATTCGGTAAGCTCCCAATAACTTGCTATCCCGGCTTTCTATCATTGATTCATTCCTTAGAAGCAAGCGACGTTGAGCGCGCAAGTGCCGTCCTTGGGGCACTGCTTGGGGCACTCGAAGTTCTTAATGCTGTCAATGCAGGTGGTGCCTTGGCAGTAGCCAGCCTGAGGTAAAGCATTAGTGAATGAGATATGATGTAATTTGGATTTGAGCACGGGAAAATCGACTTACGCTAACGGCGGCCGGAAGAACCAGAGCGACAGCGGTAACGAAGAGGCTGGAGAACTGCATCTTGAAGGATGTGAGATTTGGACCGATTATTAGAAATCTTGAGAAAGGCTTGGTGGACTTTATCGTTGAATTGAGAGAGCTAATGTCAGGTGTGAGTGATTGGGTTCGTCACGGGAAGCATTCAGTCTTTATATATAGCCTTAGGTGCTGCATTGTACCCCGGGTTTGGATTTCTAGATTCGGCTTTCTTTGGACCCTTCTGCGAGTTGCGGAGAATACATGAAAGTCCGGTCACATCCTCCTTACTATGAGGCTTGAGTCAGGCGGGAACTCAAAATACATTAAATTATTCGGGCTGCAAGTCCTACACCGTATTTAAGGGCCCGCGATGGGGTCCCACAAGACAACTCTAATATACGGAGACTTCTTGGCCAAATTTGGACCAGGCTGCTCCGTATTAGTGATGGATATGCATTGCTTCAGTGCCCCTCGACCAACAGCAGGAGTAAGGAAACGAAGCGTTGACAAGTACTTTTTTTGTGTTCTCATAGTTGATAGAATGATTCTGAGATTGCAACTTGTGTTAAACAAAGTTGGGTCTTCAACACCTAGACCCATCCCCTTCGAGGGAAGAAGACCCGTTGTCATCGTGTCGTGGTCAATGCCATGGTCAATGTTTAGGGCAAGTGGGCCGGGAACCCCACGGATTCCACGCCTCGCGGCCTCATATCCGAGACCGAAGAATACGCCGGGTATTTAAGAGCCGGGGCCGTCCGACGTTCGGTGGATCTGATCCCGGTTCTACCGGGCTCGGGCTCAAAGATGCCTGCGAAGTTTTGAGACAGTAACGAAGAAAGAAGCCTGCAATTGTTACTGCCGGACACATGGCCCAAGCGGCCAATATATCCGTAATTTGCGAATACTCGCACTTTTGCGGTATGCCCGAGTCTCATATCTCACCGCGGTCTCTCCTCCAGGGGCTGATAGCATGAGCATGAAAGTTTCTTTTATGCGCAGCATTATATGGAAAGTCTACAGTACAAAATTGCTACATACACCCAACATGATCTTCCGATTGAGTGTGGCATTACTCGAGACAAAGACCAAGCAGGAGGTCGCTGGGCACTGATCATCACAATGTAGCAATTTTGTCCGTGACTCTATATTTCATCTCGGCTCAAGAGAGATTTGAACTACTGAAATGAAGCCGGTCTTATGTCTCAGTTGATGTATGTGGCCAAATTTCTGTGCATCTAGACACTTTCTTGCCAAGGGAATTTCACCGAAGGTAATTGAAATACCAAGTGGCATAGAAGAAGCTGTTTGTCTATGGTAGGAAGTGTGATTCAATTGGTCAGAAGTCAAGAGTATCATTCATTCAAATGAGTTGACTGAAAGGCCCGGATGGGTTTAAGGTTAAGCGCAATCGTCGGATTACGTGCTGCTGTCAACTCCCTGAGTACATGTAATAAGGGATCCCGCCGCAGAGCCCCTCCGCGCGGGAACGGAAAAGAACCTTAAGTAAGGAGATTAAGTTCGCCTCTGAACTGACCATGAGTCGACTTATTATCTCTGTATCTACCAGCATCATCATGATCAGGGCTTGGACTGAGTCTAGAGGCACACAGGCTAATGTCCGCAGGACACGGTGTTGGCCATGCAGAGGCTCATCACTTACATGCATTAACGGATTGCCTTAATCTCAAACTTGTTGCTCTATAGATGACTTACCAATACTTTAGTCCGTAAATGGAGCATACCGACTTTTCTTCCTAATGACCTTGCCATACTTGAAAAATAACAATGGGACTGGTACCAAAGACACGCAAATAAAACCAAGTAGCGATGATGCCCACGCGACGCCTGTAACCTCAGTAAGCTAATGACTCAACTTGATTAAAGACTAGGACTAGCAGAACGGAGATCAAGCTTACCCAATTTGTTATACATGCTAGTCGCAAACATGGTAAAACCGGCACCAACCCAGCTTCTCAGAAATACGTTGGCCGCAATGGCGCTGTTTGAGAGTTGAGCATATGTGTCGATCATGTACACCAAGCCTTGTATGAAGATGGTCATGATTCCTATTCCGGTAGGAATGCCTGCAAGGACTTGGGGAGCCCAATGGATATCTGGATCGCTTGTCCAGGCGAACCAAAACATGCCTATTGGTAATGAAACAGCACCGAACATCATTGGAACGAGGCGTTCTTCTGGCGGCACCTTTCCATCTGCCTTATATATCTTTGCGTACCGGTATTTGAGGTGTAATAGTACGACCACTCCTCCAAGGACAATGCCGAACCCAAGACTTAAGAACGGAAGTGTTCCTACGCCCAGACTCCAACCGCGTTTGACGGAAAAGGAGATTGGGTAAGCCTCGAAGAAGAGGTATAGAATACCATAAATGAGCGACATATAGACCGTCACAAGGGCCAAGATGGGCTCGCGGCAGAGCATGGCGATGGGCCTGACGAGGTACCTTTGCGCGATGTCGCTCAACTCCAACCGATGCTCCTCGATCGCAGCATGGAGTGCCCAATTGCCAGTTTCGAAACGGAGCTCCTGAGCTCTTCTCTTGAGGATGACTGGACCATACGTCTCCGGGATGAACAGCAAGAGAATCGTCCACAGCACAGCACCGGGGATGAGTGTCAACCAAGCCGTCCATCGCCATCCCAAATGGGACTCAGTGACAAAGCCACCAACTATCGGCCCGAATATAGACCCCATGAACGTTGCACCGGCAAAGATGCAGACCGCGATGCCTCTTTCAATGGGAAGAAAGAGGTCAACGAGTGCGCCGCCGACGATCGCTAAAAGAGCCGCGCCTCCGAAGCCAACAACGAATCTGCATATCAGTATCGTCTCGACGTTTGTTGCGACTGCAACTGGTATGTTGAAGACACAGAAGACGAGGAGCCCCAGTAGTAGGGGCGTCTTGCGGCCGTACAACTCGGAGAGCGGTCCAAAAACCAGGGGGCCAAATGCAAATCCCTTTTGACTATTAGACATATCAAGACTGCCACATTATAGCTCTACTTGCCAAAACATTGAGGGCTGTTGCTAAATGCATGACATTTTTCGAGACCCCGAATAACTCGCTTGTCACCTCAGTTGCAGTGCTGAAAATTGAACTGGCAAAAGTAACAATAAAGGTTGCAAGGCCGTAGTGAACTGTTGTTCCCCACTTCGTGAATGGGGAGAAGTTCCGAGGATTGCCAAAATCGTATTCATCAGTCCAGTCGACGACGTTTTGGAGGTCTTCCTGTACCCCCATGATTCAGAAGAAATGTCAAAATCGATGCGACCAAGAGCGCAAAAGGCCGGGTTTTGACATTCGCCATCATTCTACAGACTCGTGAGCAAACTTATAAGAAGTATATATAACCTAGTATTTCATTATTCAGTCAATTCATATCGATGTACTGGGTCTATATCTGCAGAGTTTGATGATGGCTGCGTGTAACACCCACGCTTGGTCGACCTTCCCCACCTTTAAGTCCGGTTAGTAAGACGAACCAAAGTCGAGTGCTCGGCTTTACGGGTGGAGATCAGTTCAAATACCGTCGGTGATCGAAGAGAAAGACTAAACTCAGTCAACCTCAAATCTCCGGCGATCGCAAACAACAAACAATCTTCCTCTTTCACTGTTGAACGTTCGGATTGCCGTCTGCAGCCATCTGCCGACTGCGGATACTCATTACTGTACCCACATCACCCGTTAAAAACACTTGACTACTATGTCCGACATACAACAAACGGAAGAAACGCCGGTGCACACGCGCCGGCGCCGAAGAGAGCGGCCGATGCTCGTCTGCCTCGAATGTCATCGCCGAAAGCTGAAATGCAATAAGCAACGGCCCTGCGATCGGTGCTCAAAGAATAATCCTCCGCTGAAATGCACGTACGTGAGACCGGTCTCCGGCACAGCGCCGAAGCGTCCGCTCCGTGAGCAGCAGCAACAGCAGCAAGCGTCCAACGATAGGGAGCAAGGCCCCGATATCAGGCATTCGCCGGGCTACTCCGGCGATCCGGCAGATGCAAGACCCGAAGCCATATCGTCTGCTTTGAATCGCAGCGCATCAGCTACCGAGTCTCGAGATAGAAGCGTGGAAGCTGATGATGGGGATTCCCCGACTCCTGGGCCCCAAGAGGCCTTGCTTGATGGGAATGCAGACGCGTTGGGTATGTCCGAGAACGCCGGGACCCCGACCATAAAGCCGAGCAAACTCAATTCGAGAAGAACTTGGTATGGGCGTAGTAGCAATCACTGGCTTTTCCCCAAGGTATGAGAAAACTCAGCGCCCGCGTTTGTTTTTACCCCCATTGACAATCATGTAGTTTCAACATATCATGGCCCTCATGGGCCGGGCTGGCTTCTCTTTACCTGGCGGCCAGTTTACAACATTCAATGAGCTGAAGACTTCATTGTACCAGCGGCGGACCCTCTTTCTCGGAGAGGCCCAGGGGCCCCAACTGTCCATGTTTGAAGAATTTCCACCAAGGCTCACAACCGATTTCTTGATCCGGCAATATTTCGACACTTTTGGCTCCGTTTTTGCGCTCTTACCAAAGCCAATTTTCCAAGACCAGGTCTTGAGATTTTGGGAAAAGCCTGAGAGCGTGCCCATTTCCGACTGCATACAAATCTTGCTGGTCATAGCTATTGGGAATGGTACTCTAGATACGAACAGCGGCCGATTGCCGGACACCAAGATCGAGGGGTGGTGGCATCTCATTCTAGCGTGGCAGGGCGTCGCCCTTCGTTCCAACCCTTGCGATGTCAGCACTCTCCAAGCATGTTGCTTGATCGACATCATGAGGCAGGTTTACAGCCTGGATTCCACGGCTACTTGGTCCTCATCTGGTATGCTGGCGCGAAACGCAATGGTGGCGGGCCTGCATCGCGATCCCTCGATTACAGGAGACCGCCTCACAAAGGACGAGCTAGAGACCCAACAAAATCTCTGGTACACGATCCTGGAGCTGGATTTACAAAGCTCAATGAATGAAGGAATTTTGACAACGATAGGACCCGACGACTGGGATATGTCGCTACCAGCACCTCCGAAATCGAATGGCATGGGCGAGGGATCTTGCCTAGGTGCCTCGTCGCCTGTGGGCTACTTGATATCGACTCTGAGAACGCGGATGCGTATCGCCAACTTCCTCAACGACATCAGATGCTCTACGAAGTACGAGGAGGCCTCCAAGTTGCAGGAGGCATTTGAAGCTGTGGCGCGTCCGCTGCTAGCAAACAGCTCTCCTGACCGCGGTAACTTTGCTTTATGTTTCTCAACCGTTCTTTGTCAGAGGTCATTACTTGCCCTTCACTTGCCATTTGGCGTTCAGAGAAGCTCCTCTTTGGCTTTCTCTTACACTTTGTGCGTCAGCACCGCCATCTCAATCCTCGAGACTATTGATCCTCCCAGCAAACTGGCCAAAGGCTATGACTTGGGTGGACTGGTGAACATGATGAGGACCTCCGGATCCTTGTTTCGTACAGTGGCTCTGCAAGCCGTGCTGTTTCTCTGCTATCAGATGGAAGCGTCTGTCTCTGACAATAAGCCCTGGACGTTGATCGCCGAGCTCAGGGACCGAATCATTGACATCATCGACCGCTACGCTCTCATTGCCGAGAGAAGGCTCGCGACGCAAGACTTTGTAGGGAAGGCTTTCATAATAGCCAATATGGTATCGGCGAAAGCCAAACTTGTGAGGATGGGGCACAGCGGAGCAGAGATTGATGCGGCTAGTCCGGCTATGGCCAAGGATATCGCCGAGGTGTGCTTCGCCATCTTCCGAAATCGGCCGGATATTCCTGGGCCTGTCCAAGAGGATATGACACCAATGTCGCTAGTGGAGTGAGCAATGGGATCTGGGATCTAAGGATTAGTGCAACTGGGTGTATGTAATAACACGGTGTGCTGCAAGATGGCCAAAGTCAACAAATCAGAGAAGGGAATCCTTTTATTGATGACATAGAGTTGTTTATAATGGCAGCTACTTTTGCTTCTGTAATCCAGTAGCAATCCATGAAGGTCCCAACTATAGATGTAGGCGATGTTCAGCACTATTAGTCAACGGTGGATGCTATGTTCCTATGCTACTACTATATGGCTCATACGGCCACAACTCAGGACAGAACCTGCGCTCCAGAACCATAGAGGCAGGATCATAAGCCATGGCCCGAATCACGTGTTTTAGGAAGGATGGGAGTTGCATATAGATATACAGCCCGTATCACGAGCGATCATAAAGTTTTGCTGCAAAAACCACACACGCTGAGGGGAAAGGAGCTTTCTCATATTCATCTCAAGCTGTAGGGCGATAACAAGAGGACAGCTCAAGTCTCTGATAAAAGTACTACCGTCCTGATACCTCAACTGCAAGACAGCACTTCCCGGCCGGGTCAAACACACACATTCCCAGCGCTACCTTCGAGTCGAATCGTTCAAGCTAAGCTATACCAGTTGTTCATTGCTGCAGGCACGATTTAAATGTACTAGCCGTGCAGACTGGCGGTCTGAGCATTTGTCAGTAACAGCTCAAAATCAAAGATAGGGCTCGTCTAACTGCTTGATGGGCCAATGGTAGGCTCTGTTATCCCGCTCAACATCTGGGCTTGCCTCTGCCGTTGTAAATGCAGGCAGACTTTACGAGACCGGTTGGTGGGCAAGCGCAGCCTCCTCCAGCGTTACCGCACTCAAAGACGCAGGTTGCGCCATCGTTGTACGAGCATTCGATCCAGCCCGCGGAGCAGCTTCGAGCGGAAACGAATCCAAGGGTGAGACCCAAGATCATGAAGGCCTTGGTGACAAGCATTGCGAAAGATTTTGAAAGATCGATGTAGGAGGGATTGCGAGATAGATGGACGAGATGGTATGTGATGAATTCATTGCGGCAAGTGGGCATGTAAAAAGTATTTATATGTACATTTCGTTCTGGATATTGGAAGTCATCGATTCTTCGTTCTACACTAGGACCGAATAGAGTTGTGTGCGCAGTTATGAATTACCGCCGGTGCTGAGCGCGCTTGGGGCCCATTGCGCGTGCCGTGTAATTGAAAAGTGTATCATAAAGTATCGTGTGATTTCCGTTGAAAGCCTGATCCTGTTAAGGGTAATCTTTTGCGCCAACGTAAAGCCGAAAAAAGCCACCACATGAATTACCGCCGGAGACATCAAAAGGTCCTCAAGCTGATGCGTCAATACGCTATAGTATCTTTAGCTGGATACTGAGCCAAATGGCGGTCTGGGGCGGGAGTTCGAAGCACCATCGGGAACATTGACCTCAAGATAGAAATTCTCTGCGCCAAAAGTATTCGTGCCACTGAGCTGATCACGGCATTGTAATCGCCGGAATTGGTATAAAGATGTCTCTGTTCGCTCTAGCATTGATGGACTTGAATTACTGACCATCAGCTTCATCCAGAACTCGAACATAAACATCTTCGCTCTCTCTTTTCCATACATCTTGGGTGAGTAATTACACTATGCTCAAGACCGACAGATCCTAACAGTCTCTTGACCAAATATAGCATCATGAAGTTCACTACTACTCTCGTTGCGGCTATCATCGCTCCCATGAGCGTCCAGGCCTGCAGTTACTACTCCTTTTGCCACTGCATCGACGCCAACCAACAACCCAACGACGTAGCAACCGGAACCGTCTGCGGCAACAGCAAGCCGTCGCACATGTTGCGTAGCGACTGTGTCGTTGAAGGCTCCGGTTCATTCTACAACTGCAACTTTTCGGATGCCTGCAAGAAGGCTGGGGCTACCGGCGACCAGGGACCTGCCAAGACCAACGCTTGGTGCCAGGGCAAGCAGGGCTAATGATAAGGGGAGAACGAAAGGCTGGGAGAAGAGGAGGCACCTGTTGGCTCAACTTTGCGCCTAGCATCACAAAGACTCTGTCATAGACACATACTAGCTTCTATTCTGCCTTGTTTGCAGCGTACTAAAGCTTGGTTAGCACGTCAACATAGGTACTCGAACCAAGTTGATAGTATTAGCTATATGCTACAAATCAATTCAACCATCATTTTGCTCTGAAATGGACTACATAGAGCAAAAGACATCTGCTCTTGGATGTGACACGAGCACTTGTTGTCATTTAATATGACAGTTAAATACTATTTGTGTCGAAAACAATTGAAGTGTGTGTACTGAGGTAAAGCATGAGTTTCTTGAACAGCTAGAAGAGACATTGAGGTGGGTAGAGCCTCTACATGTATGATCTATTTTACAGTGTTGGGGGTCTATTATTTCTGTATCGCCACTATGAGGCCGTACATCCGAGAAGTTGAATTAGTTGTGAGTTTCGGAGGCTCCATGTGTAATTCAAGGAGTTCTCATTCCAAGCCGGGGCGACCCGAGTCTCGACACGGAAATGTAAAACGTGTAATTTCGAGAAGCACTCATTCTGGCCCGTGGCTGTCAAAGTCTCGGCAAGGAAACATAACACATTGCCAGGTGGGCAGGGCAAAGGGGCATTATAAAAGCCAGCGGGCTAGCTGCGCATGGTTTTGGTTCCCGGACATTTCAAACTCAGACAACCATCTCTCAAAAAATGCAGTCTAGAATCTTACTTCTCATGTTAACATTGGGACGCACAATGGCTCAAGTCACGTGTGCCCGAGCACATTTACCTAACACAGACCCGTACGGCGAGACGACCTTCAGGAATGTTGGACCAAGATATGAAGCCGGATGTGCCACGGACCTAGTTGTTCATTACGCTCCACCATCTCGTGGAACCAAAAATGGTGTCCTCAGCATTTACACAACGGGCCAGAGCTTCAGGTCGATTATCGAGGTGAACGGTCCTGTCCGAGGTAGCGAATTAGCGGTCGAAGATTCCACATTTTGGATCGACTCGGCATCCAGCTGCAAGACGAGCTTCCCAGCTATCGAGCCAAAAAGCATCACTTGTTACAGAGCTTAAATCCATCATCTCAAATGTATGTGAATTACACTCAGAACAAAGGCTAGCTGAAGAAGTACTGGGCTAACGAGCACTTCTAAGACTCCTCTTAGTTTCCATGGGTCACCTGAAGGCCTGTTATGGTTGTAGCTGTGGCTGTGGCCAGGGTTTGCCTAAGGCGAGGTCTCGGAACCCACTGGAAATATTTCAATAACTTGAGGGTTGGGGTTGGCTGGCATTCTTCTGGAGTAGCAACATGAAGTCTTCTCAGTAAGGTAGTCGATTGGTCGCATTGGTCGCAACGGGACGAAGAAGATCCACCCTGCTTCAGTAAAGTAGGATGACTGTCTAGTCAGTCAGACCAGCTTGATAAGGTAAAAGAGATGCCAAATTCGAAGAAGGAAAGTACTTATCTCAGAAGATTGGGTGGTATCAATAGGTAAAGGGTAAATGAGGTCAAACTATGATCCTGCTGCGCAACAACTGAAGGGAAGGTCAATGTTCAAGCGTCTTATCAAACATATCGTTACAAGAGAAATGCTGTGGCAGATATAATAGCCCTCGGTGGCTGAATCTTTCACGAACCCCGCGTACATTAGCCCAGAGAGGACAATTAAATGTGGCTCCCTCGGCAAATTAAACTCGCAGCACAACATAGATCTGTGCTTTGTTGAGCGGTAATACTAGCCGATTAAGGATGTGGATTCCGCCGTGGCAGTAAAACCAAGGAAGCCTGACTAGATATAGAGATTTCGCGAGTCATAGCTTATATTACCACAGTTCTTCCTTTAGGCCTCGGAGACTATGAATCCTAAGGTCTGCACTCAGAAAGCCGGGGCCCTAGATAGATACAACCTAGAGGTGTGTCAGTCTCCGTAAGTATCTAGCAAAAAGCTCGCTACCTACTAATGAGGTAGGAAACGCTTGAGACCATCACTTCATCACCTACATGCCTCAGCTAGTAGTGCTTGGTGCTTGAACCTCCAAGCCAGGCTACTCTTAGGGGTATGCTTAGCATAGATGACAAGATACTCGTAGACTGTTGTCATTGCTAGTCAAGGCCTCCCCAAAGCGACGGACTTAGCGGAATTCTTTGACCCCAAGTTCTCACAACATGCATTCTCACTAGAGGCCAGACTCCTACACTCGCAACTCATAATAGACCAAGCCATGACTCTCTCTACAAGGCGGAATTCTCGGTGGCTGATAAAGCTTCTTAGAACGAAATACTGGGGCTCGAAGTATCCAGGAGCAGATTTCGAGACGTTCCAACAATGGTTGAAGCCAAAAGACGTCACCAGGTTTCTGACGAACGCCGTCATGCCAGTATCTACAATCCCTGCACATTATCTAGCATCTTGAGGAGTTTGTATTCTGTGCTACGAGTATAAAGATATCGACAGTGGCTCCTACAACTCGACCTTCTTTTCCCTTGTCATCGCATCATAATCACCTCCCTTAGTTCGCCATCAAGCCTTACTCTCTGACGACATTTCGCCCAACATGCAGCCCATCACTCTCGCAAACTTCATCCTCCTCGTATCGGCTCCTCTCGCCTTGGCGAACCCTGTCGGCGAGGCTGCCTCTGCAATCTTCGACAGGCAAATCAACTGCTGGAAGGCCAACTGCGGCGGCGCTGGCGAATGCGCTGGTAGCTGGGTACTTTCATCATTAATACCTGAAGGAGGTTGTGGATTGATGCTAATGATTGACTCCATAGTGCTGCGTTCCTTGGCAAGCGGCTGACGGACCGGCCTGCAAGTGCGCCCCTCCTGGCGACACCAAGTACTGTTAAGGTCGCAAACATACTTCAATCATCATCATCAAGAGCTGTCCGGTACAGGGAGTCCCTATCAATATTTGCGGAGTGAAGCATCCAGCGAGGTTCTCGCACTGCCTATGGAACTGGAAGAGGGTAGCTAGAGCCTTGTACAGAATTGAATAACATCATCTGATCAGAAAGCTGTTCACAAGTTGACAAATAATCATTGCCACCTTTTTACAGCCTTCCAATCTACAATCAGCGACACTCCGAAGCATAGACTGGTCTGTGGCGCCACCGGAGTGGTAAGCACGGCGGTCAACGGAATTTTGATAGGTGGCCGGCGCCGGGTGCGGCGGTGCCCGGGTGGATACCCGGCCCCGCAAGCCTATCGAGCACAATTGTCGGCTCAACTCACTCGGTGCGTTGTCCGAAACTCCGGTCTGCCTAGAGGTTCCATCACTCATGATTTCCATTCCCTTTCCAGAGACTGAGCGGGCACTGAATACGACTCCCCGCGCCCATCTACTTGTGTACCGAATGACGCTGGCTGCAACGTAATTAGGGGCTTTCATATGGCCGAAAGAAGCCCGGGGTCCCACAACATGAACAAGGGGATAGAAAAGGAAGGTTTCCCATGGACGCAATCTTCAGGGATCCTCATTCTTCAACCAACCAACTGGCCGGGCCCAGAAAAGAAAATCTCCATGTAGCCAGCTCTTCCCCCCCCTCAGCGGGCCGTTTGACATCTCCGAGTTAGGCAACTTTGGTTCAAGTTTGAGCCACCGAAAAAAGCCGTTGCACCCTAATTCAGGGATTGCGTGTGTCGTTGCAGCGCGAACAGACAATGGATTGCTGCCGTGCGGATGTCAGACCATCCATTCGGATTGCCTAGAACGCCCATGATCAGTTTCCGAGCCCAATTCGCGCCGTCCTTTTCACGTACGAGGAACCTACACCGACAACTAAGAGACATCTGCCGTCCTTCGGGGTTTTCTTGCCTGCGCGTCCCGTTGATCGCTCATGCCACCCACCCATGTCTTCAACGTTGTAAACTTCGGTGCTCTGGCTTTTTCGGGTGTAGGTCAAATGCAGAACGTGTGGACCGCCCCTTTGACTATCTTCATCCCACCCCGGACTCTCCACACATTCTACCGTGGCGCAAGTCTTGGGAGATGTGAGAGAAGAGACGAAGAAGAATGCCCTTCTCCTCTGCTCTCTGGATTCCGTGATTGAAAGCTTCCTTCTCATCCTTCCCAAGTTCTCGTTTCCTGGCGAATCAGGAATAACACAATGTCAACCATCGAGACTACGTCGTCGCCCCTCGACGTTTCCTCGTCGTACCTGTCGGCTCGAACTGTGTTCGGTCTCGCCGGGCTCTGGTTACTGTACCAGGTTGCAAAGGCGCTCTACAACATCTCGCCTTTGCATCCGTTGAGCCACATTCCCGGACCTAAGCTGTCTGCAGCCACATACATCCCCGAATTCTACTACGATGTCATTCTTTTCGGTCGCTACACCAGGGAAATTAGCCGCATGCACGAGCAATATGGCAAGTCTAACTGCACTCTTCGGGAAACTCAAGACGAAATCTAATGTTGTCGCAAAGGCCCCATCGTCCGCATCAGCCCCCACGAAGTACACTGCAACGACGTCAACTTTTCGGATGATATCTACGCCGTGAGTGGTCGCAAGCGCGACAAGCCTGTCCATCAGATTAACGGTTCTGCGTGAGTACTTCATATGCAGATGAGAACGCCTAGAAGCAGTAGTGCTTATCAAACATTTGTTGTCTAGCTTGGGCGAGTCTGGCTTCGGAACCGTGAACCATGATTCGCATCGCGTTCGTCGCATTCCCCTGGCCAAGTTCTTCTCTCGCGGCAATATTGCGCGCCTCGAAGGCGACGTTCACGACCTAGTCCAGAAGCTTTGCGACAAGTTGCTTGCTCAGCGGGAAGCTTTCGACGTGACAATGGCTTACAGCTGCTTCACCTCTGACGCTATCTCCGGATATTGCTTCGGCGAGAGCTTCGGTTTCCTCAGACAAGACGGCTGGTACCCCAACTTTCGGGAGCCGACTGCCTCCATCCTGAGACCTGTCTTTGTCTTCCGTTTCTTCCCCTGGACCAAGTCCTTTGCCGTTCTGGG